CACCTCAGATTTCCAAAGTTTTAATTTGAACAGACCAAAGAATCCATCAGGACTAAATTTGGTATGCCCTGCAACCATAAAACAATAGGTAATTCTATCGTGTAATCCATTCATTACTCTCCACATTAGATACTGAATCATAGCATTATTTTTGTTTTGGCCGACACAATTGTCAGCATGTATAGTGATATATTTTTCTCCAAAGCCGTGATTACTAAAGTAATTATGAACCAGAGAGATTACTGCGTCAGCTCCTTTTCCCACGCTTTCACTTTCTGGAATTAAATAGTTGATCTATAAATATAACAATAGCAATAAACATTAATATAATTAAAAAGTTCTGACACAAAATTCCGATAGTTTATAGCTCCAACAACCATAACATAACAAAAATTCTAATAGTTCAAGATCTTTAAGTTTCACAAATATAAGAACCTGATAATTAAAGTATCTAATATTCTATAATGTATCTATCAATCTATAGTCTTAAAACCGTGCTAAAGCTCCTTCAACAAGATATTTATACTTGCAATTTACTAAAGAGTATCCATTCAATAATGTCTTTAAATTACTGTGTATTAAGTCGTGTTTGTTGAATTAGTTGATTAATATCATGATTGTCGCTTGTCTAATTATAAAATTCTTTTTCAAATCAATAGAATATTGAAAAATAATAAGAATAATTATAATTAAGGCTAAAAATTAATAAATAATATATACGGTCTATCAAAAATCCAGAATATTATACATACCATAATTTTGCAAATACTCAGGTATCTTTAACTCCATGTTGGTAACGATATCCAATATAAAATATTGCAGTAATGTTTCTTATTACTGCTAAATTTGATGTCTTATATTTATTTTTTCAACAATTCTAATTCTATCTTAATAAATTATTTGACATTGCATGTTTCATCAGAATCACCTAAACCATCATAATGTACTGACTAATCTGCATCATAAGTAGGGCTTACGGATTCTTCAAGGTATGTAGAAAAATATTATATATCCTGTTGTGCTTGTTGGACCGTATATTCCATAGTGTCCATTAGACTTTTCAAGTGAAAATCTCTTATAAGTACTTGCATGAGGTAGCAATATTTCTTTTCATTTTTTTCACCACAATTGCACATTCCTGGTGCATAATCTGCGTGTTCAATGCATAGAGTTTGATCTGCGCATTTAAATTTCAATGCTAAAAAATAACTAAATACATTACAATAAGAACACACCATTTCAGAGTCTTTTGGTTCAGTAATGTCGTGTATTGGAGCGGGTAAAGTCAATTTTTGAATTACTTCAGTCCGAAGTTTCAGTTCTTTTGAGCACATTTCATTTAATGGATCTTTAAGCCTTTGATAGAAAAAGACAATTTTTCTTACAATTGAATAACCAAACTATGTAAGGGTACTTGAATTATCAATATAAAGGTTT